ATTGCACGCTCCCAGGATGATGAGTTGGCCTTCACTTGACTAACTGAACAGCAGGAGGAAGAACCCTGATTATTTTCAATATGTACGGTCCATGCTAGTGTCATGCCAAACAGAAGCTGAACAGCAGCTCGTTCAGAAAAAGCAGGAGCAGCAATTGCAGATCCAACATTAATCTGATAACTGTCAACAGGTGTAAAATTTGGGCCAGAAAAGATGTGGACTCCACCATGAAGAAAAGCAATGGCAATTTCACCACCATGAGCAGAGTAAACAACTCGAGAAAGTGCTCTAACATCACTTGGAAGATCAGATGGATCAAACCCGACCCTTTTTGACTTATCAAAACCAGGTTCAGATGCCTTTTGCACAACTCCAGTCAGTCCAGCAGCAGCTGCTTGATGAATTTTGAAATCATCTGTGGGTGGTATGCTCAAGTCCACCTTAGACTGCCAAACAGTTTGCACAGGTGGCTGTCCACCCATACTGGAGGTGGGGTTTCCAAATATTGGATGAAGGACAACATTTTGAAAAGATGATTCCCAGCGCTGTACTCTCCAGCCTGTAATTGATGGACCTTCATCTGGGTCGTAAGGGGACATGTATTGTCCTGTATAAAACAGCCATACACCAATTTACTAACTCCACTGACGAGAACACAAAAAATTCTGACAAAAAAAATATGCATCATAGACAGCACTAAAATTTAGAGATGGACAGATGGAAAAATAATTACACGAGTACTTCAACATTCCAACATATTATTAATAACAAGTCTTTTTTTGAAAATTAACTTGCCCCAGGATGAAAACTGCAAGATTCAAGGCACCACTATTGGGAAGAGGGAACATGATATGAACATTATCTGATCCATCAATCATGGTTTTAAGCTTCTAATGTCTCTTCTCAATAGACAACATTTACAATCCTTGTCTTTTATAACAACTTGTCACTGTTCCAATGATACAAGTGGTTTACAGTCTTTTCTTCAAAATGTAGGTAACCAAATCAATTTAGGCTTTTGATAGAGCAGATGGAATTATTAATACCTATAAGTGGAAAGCAAGAAAGAGCAAGGAGGCAGAAGAGAAAAACACTTCTGGTTCTAAGGTTTACAACACGAATCCTAGCTGTAAGGAAAAAAATAAGAATCAGACAAAAGCCACAGAGACTGCGGATTATTACATCAAAGAATAGATGCAACTCCTAGTGAAGGGCAACTTTATTTCATCAACCGTGACAAAGAGTTTGAGCAAATTATCTCAAGAAGTTTGTTTCAAGCAATAAGAACATAAAGTCCAATATGGTGAAGGTGATAGAGAAATTATTGAGCTTCTGTGAAAAAAATTGGGTTCCTTAGTTCCATAGTTCGTTTTAAATATGGAGCAATTAAAAAAAGTATAAAAATGAATATTATTGAAATGATGTGAATTACAACATTTATAGAAATTAATGGATTATGGATTAATGGAAAAAATGAAAACGGAGCATTAAAAAAAAAATGATGAAGAAATATAGCATTATCGATGAAGCACAAGCTTTAGGAACAAAATCAAATTCTGTTTGCCAGCAGCAACAGCCTCAAAAAACATGGCACTTTCCCCAGCCCTAACCAGGGTCAAATATGCCAGAGGTCCCTCGAATCCAAAATAATTGAATGTGCTTGGGACAAAAAAAGAGGAAAATAAATTAGGTTTGAATTAGGAACATACCCTCAACTATCACTACAGTTATCACAGAACCACCACGAGTTGGATCAAAAGCCACTGATGTTACGCCAGAACCCCATGTAGTAGTTGCAGCAGATTGAGCTGCAGCTTCAGGACTAACATATGCAGAAAAATTTGAAACTGGTGAGCAGTGAAGTGGCACAGCATCAACAAGGCTTTGATCTGTTTGTTTTTTCCCTTGCTTTGCTTCAGATAACAGATAATCTTGCCAACTAAACAAATATGCAGCTAAAGGTGCAAAACCTGCCCAGCTAGGTGGGCTAAAAGGGGGGACACCATTACTAGTACTTGTCTTTGGAGTTACTTGGAAGCCATTTCCGGGCCCAGGAGTAACCTCCCAAACAACAATGGTGGATGGGTTCACAGTAGGCACGCCTGCCACATGCATGGCACCACTGTCTGTTATGATAGCATCAGCAACCATAATTCCACTGGGCCCACAACCCAAGAGCCCTTTACTGGTGCAAAACCATTTGGGTGCCTCACCATTCTGACTAGGAGGCCACTGGGACCAATGAAGTTGAACAGAGCCTGATGAGAAAATGGAACAGACGCAAAGAAAATAGGGCCATCTAGCTGAAATCAAAACAACGTATGTATCAGATACATGGGCTTACTGCTATTAAATACATAGAACTGCAATATTAACCAACAAAAAGAGAGCCATATGAAATGAATGAACAAGCAATTATGGAAACATATAAAGAAGAGATGACAGTACTGTCCAGGTTTCAGGCATCATCAAAACCAGATATGGATCTTGCATATTGCAGTCTTGAATGCACTGTATTAGCGGCTAATAAATAGCATGGCTTATTTGAGTTTTTACATTTTCTGTTGATGCTATTGATATTGATTGTCACCACCATGATTAAAACCATAAAGATTATAGAAGTTATCAAGTTAAAATTGGAAAGAACAATCTAAAAACAAATCTTCCCCTCTTCTATGCGCAATATTCCCAAAAACTCAAAGAGCATTGCATGCATACTTTCCACAAAAGATTTTATTAGTGAATAACAATGTTAACAAAAATATAGCTAAAAAATTTAAACTTGTATACATGTATAAAGTTGGGATATGACTTTTTGCCATATGGTTTGACACCAAAAAATCTTTAGTAAATTTCTTGAACCTCCCTCTATTTTCAAATATACATAAGCCTATCTCAAAATAAAAAGTTGTGCTACACTTCTGATTTTTGTTTTTAGTAGTATAGAAGGTACTAAAACTCGAGAGAATAGAAGGTATCATTCCTCCCAGATATTGCATTACCAGCATTTAACTAACTATCAAAAGATTCTACAATATCATATGTAAATGTAATACAACATTTCACCTCTCTTCAGCAAGTAAAACCTGAAAGGAAAATTACAGGAAGAAACAGGCTAAAGAAAAGAAAACATAAACAGAACCTGAACTTTGAGATTGCTGTGAAAGAAATTTTTCTTCAAATGTTGATGTCAAATTGGCAGAAACACTCGATTTGGATGAAAGCCACCTATACTGATATTTCAAAACTAATTTCAGATAAAAAAAAGTAATTAATAGCAGAAATTGTCATATTAGTAATACATCCTGAAAAAAGAAAATTAAGTCAAACAAACAGAATCAGAAATAAAAAATGGTTTAATTAAATTTTTGGTTCCGTAGTTTTATAATAGTTCAATTTTGGTATTCAGAAGCCTCAATTACAGCAATGCCCCTCATGATTTTCAACTTAATGAAATTAAGCCTACGATTCAATTAAAGGGATGAGATACCCTTTTCTTGGCTAACTTGGAGATCATGTGATATTTGCTTTTCTAAGTGGCTCTCTTTTTTGCTGATGTGAAACTATCACAGACAGTTATGTTGGGGCACAACTCAGTTTCATCAACTGATCAACGGCAACTTAGGTGCTGGGCTTTTTTTAGTGGGGTGGGGGCAAAAAATAGATCTTTGCAAGACTTGGCAGACCTTAACTGCAATTAATCCTGTATAAGAAGTTATATCTACAACCATATCCAATTTTAAGAAAGACAATGAAGAATATTGCCACCCCACGTGCATGGCATAGGTTTAAAAGATTGGTACATAAGACAGGCTTCTAGGCACCATAGTTAATAAAAGCAATACCTTAATATACAGGAATAGAAAAAGAACAATCTATTTTTTCCCCAAAATCCGTACACAAAAACCTGAGCATTAGTGAAAGGATTCCGATTCTTCAAAAATAGCACCACACATAGGATAAACTTTAAAAGAGAGAAATATAAGAATAAATTCACACGTGCATAGCATGAAAGAGCAAAGGACTGAATTATGGATAAAAAACACTTAATCTAATAATTATGGATAAACAACACTTAATCCTAAAAGCCACTCAAGTCAATGCGGAGACCTTTTAAAAGGAGAATGCGTCATAATACAGAATGAAAATTTCAAACTGGACTTTATCTCCCTGACATAAGATGCAGATGCTAAAGAATCCAGGATAAAAGAAGATATCCTCCTCCAAAAGATGAAAAAGCACATCAAAGAAAAAATTGTTGCAGTACCAAAATAAATCTTTCCAATTTGTTAACATTTCTATCAAGGAGACTCCACTAATACCACAGGTCAGACACCAGACATAAGCAACAATGTCCCAAATCATTCTAAATGCGGAGAAATATTCTTGATAATATGAGCATTTTGCTGTAACCAAGAGACTGCAATAAAGCCTGCCTTCTCTCACCAAAAATGCTAAAGTTGATATAAAAAAATACTTTCAACTTGAAGCCCTAACCTCATAAAAAAAAAAAAAAAAATATGATCTAACTCCATATAGAGTTGGCTGAACAATCTTATGGAACATATTCTTCTGAAGGATCATGCTGAGTCATACCTAACCCTTTTTTAGGGGGGTGGGGGCTAATTATCAGTTCAACTATCTTAGATATCCAAATAATTTTTAAAGGAAGAATTAGGACCGAGAAACAAAACTGAAAACAATAAATGCGCAACTGTGTCTCCAAGTCTTCAGAACATTTAAGCATCAGATCGGCACACAAGAGAAGAGATTTTAACTACATACCGGAGACATCCCTGATAGCCACTTTGTAACAACTGCAACATCCTGCCGCCACTCATGCTCACGCCACCAGCAGCTAGTATCATGCACAAGATTAGCTGGACCCTGAATGGACATTGAATAAGCCAGCTTGATAAGAATCAGCAATTAACATTAAACTGAGGTGAAGCTGTGGAATGGTGAAGGCAAGAAAAAAGAGAAAGTGGACAGAAGGTCAACAAAAAGATGGACATAGTCAATTAAATTAAGCTCCATCTCAACAAAGCTACATTGTACAATTAAGTCCTTCAATATCAAGATTTGGAAAAACCAACCAGCCAATGGAAGCAAGTATGAGATTAAGTAACATGATTTGACACAATATATATATATATATATATATAAATATAGCTGCTTAATAACCGAAATTATTGGAATTAAATCAGATTATACAACTGAAATTATTCGTTCAACGTGATTACACAACTACTGCAAAGAAAACCATGCCAAAAAAATTGCAAAGCATCATCCATTTATATAGCCTTAAGAATGAGATCAACAATGCCTACTTGAGATGGTTGAGTCCAAATGGTCACCCTCCCATGGAAATTAGCTATTAATAATGCACGCGGACAACAAATAGGAGACCATTCAATGAACTGAACAGAATCTCGGGGAGAATCTGCAAAAGGTATAGCAAGCATCCTATCAAATTTCTAGGAATAAAAGATATATATATATATATATATATGAAATAGATTCCCAGTTATGAAAGCATGCATCCATGTTTTTAACATAAACAAAGGAAAAACAACACATTCCCATAATTCAAAATTTGAAAATAGCATATTGTGACTGAGCATCCAAAATTCCAAATGATATCCCCAAGTGAGGGATTACCCATCAAGTAGTAATAGCAAACATTCTCATAGTTGAAGGATGGAATATATCAACAGATTACCGTTTTCTGATGCAGCTCCAAATTTTTCGATTTATTATTCATGCTCAGTTTGACATCTTTCTATCTCAGCAAATTCCAGGTGGTATGTAATTTATAACAAGCATGATTTGTACAATGTTTACATGGAAAAATAAGAATTTAAGTAGCATAACTTTTGCATATAACCAAGCAAAGAATAAGATCAGAACATCATCACAAGGCACAACAAAAAGCAAACACCTAGAGTTAGTGAAGAAAGCAGTGACATCAATATACCTGCTATGACATTGAACACTGCACATTCAGTAGGCCTCTCTGGGATGACAATATGTATAGGGATCCAAAATGGTGGGTTTGTAGTTGAACTACATAACAACAAATAAATAAATAAATTGACATCGTAAAATTACTAACAAAAACAATCATAAAGCAGTGTCAGCAAACCAGTGTGTTGGAAAACAAAACATAAGCAGGGATAGAAATCATACAAGCCTCTGTAACGATTAGATGAGTTTAAATTAAAACAACAGGCACTTTTAATATTTAATACGTGCTGATAATTAGGCTCAATAACGCGCTGCATGGCTCGAGTACAGTGATAAGTGAGTTAGAGCCGCTGCATCGGCACCCGGATGTAGTGTTAAATGAGCAAGGGCTACCGTGTCATTCTGGACGCACGCGGCTAAAGAAGTTCGTCTATGAGAGCAAAATTAGATTTGGTACTTGGAATGTTGGGACATTGAATTGTAAATCTGTAGAAGTTGTCGGGGTTATGATTCAAAGAAAAATCAATATCCTTTGCCTGCAAGAAACAAAATGGCATGGAGAAGAAGCGAAGGATATTCAAGGTTTCAAACTTTGGTATATAGGAAAAGCAAGTGCACGCAATGGAATAGGCATCATTATAGATAAGGAGTGGAAGAAGAACGTTGTAGAAATTAGCAGAATTGGAGATAGAATTATTTCTTTAAAAATGATAATTGGACGTGAGACTGTTAATATTGTTAGCGCTTATGCGCCGCAAGTCGGGACAGAAGCTAGTCTTAAGGAATTATTTTGGGAGGATCTGGAGGGGTTGATTCGACACATATCACAGAGTGAAAAGATTTTTATTGGAGGAGACTTTAATGGGCATGTCGGCAGGGAAGCTGGTCAGTATGCGAGGGTGCATGGTGGTTTTGGTTTTGGAGAGCTAAACAATGAAGGACAAACTCTTCTTGATTTCTCATTGACGTATGATTTTAAGATTGCCAACACTTGTTTCAAGAAAAGAGATGAGCATCTCATCACTTACAAAAGTGGAGCCTCAAGGTCACAGATTGATTTTCTTTTGGTTAGGAACACAGATAGAAGACTTTGTAAAAATTGCAAGGTGATCCCCGGAGATGCTGTAACGACACAACATAGGGTCCTAGTCCTTGATGTGTGTATTATGAGTAAAATCCAAAAACGTCGACAAGTAGTAGCACCAAGGATTAGGTAGTGGCAATTAAAAGGTGAGAAGCAAGATATTTTCAAGCGAAATCTTTTGGATAAAGGAATTTGGAAATCTCAGGGAAGTGCTAATATCATGTGGGAGGATATGGCTAAAAAGATACGGGAGGTTGCAAAAGTAGTTTTGGGAGAATCAAAAGGTTCTGGTCCGAGAGATAAGGAGTCTTGGTGGTGGAATAATAGTGTACAGGACAAAATCAAGTATAAGAAGAACTGTTTTAAAGCCATACATTTGTGCAACAATGAGGAAAATTGGAAGAGGTACCGTATGGCTAAGAAGGAAACTAAGAGAGCTGTCGGTGAAGCTCGTTCTAAAGCTTTTGAAGAATTTTATAAGAGCCTTGAGACGAAGGAAGGAGAGCGAAATATTTATAAGATTGCCAAGAGTAGGGAAAGAAAATCAAGAGATCTAGAACAGGTAAGGTGTATTAAGGATGAAGAGGGAAGAACTTTAGTTACAGATGATGAAATTAAAAATAGATGGGAGACTTACTTTTCTAAACTTTTCAATGATGGAGAGGGTTCATCTAGTAACTTGGACGATTTAGTAACTGGTGAAGGAGAACAAAATTTGTCATTCTATCGAATAATACGTGATAAGGAGGTAAAGGAAGCTCTTAAGAAAATGGCAAATGGTAGAGCCAACGGACCTGATTGTATATCTATCGAAGCGTGAAAATGTTTAGGTGAAGAAGGGGTGAGATGGTTAACTAAGTTATTTAATGTAATTTTACGGTCCAAGAAAATGCCTAATGAGTGGAGGAGAAGTACATTAATTCCTATTTATAAAAATAAAAGAGATATTCAGAATTGTACTAACTATAGAGGGATTAAGCTCATGAGCCACACAATGAAATTGTGGGAGAAAGTAATTGAGCACAGGTTGAAATTGGAGACAAGTATTTCTGAGAATCAGTTTGGTTTTATGCCAGGTAGATCAACTACAGAGGCGATTTCTCTACTAAGGGGATTAATGGAAAAGTATCGTTGTAAAGATAAAGATCTACACATGGTTTTTATTGATTTGGAAAAAGCTTATGACCGTATACCAAGAGAAGTGCTTTGGAAAGCGTTAGAAAAAAAGGGAGTACGAATTGCTTATATTAAAGCCATACAAGAAATGTATGAGGGGGTAAAAACTAGTATAAGAACGCTTAGTGGTCAAACAAAGGATTTTCCTATAAAGATTGGACTACATCAGGGATCATCTCTGAGTCCTTTTCTGTTCAACTTGATCTTAAATGTTTTGACGGAACATATTCAAGGAGAAATTTCGAAATGTATGCTCTTCGCGGATGATATAGTTCTTATAGCAGATACAAGAGAAGAGGTTAATTGCAAACTTGAGTTATGGAGGAGGACATTGGAGTCGAAAGGTTTTCGTCTGAGTAGAAGTAAGACGGAATATTTATATTGTAAATTTGGTAAAGGACTATTCGACAATAATTTGGAAGTGAAATTGGGAGATCAAATTATACCTCAAGTGGAAAAGTTTAGATATTTGGGAGCCATTATTCAAAATGATGGCGAAATCAGTGGAGATATTTCACATAGAATTCAAGTTGGGTGATTTAATTGGAGAAAAGCTAAAGGAGTTATTTGCAATCGTAAGGTGCCTAATAAACTTAAAGGAAAGTTTTATCGCACTGCTATCAGACCGGCAATGTTATATAGTAGTGAATGCTGGGCTCTAACGGGACAACAAGAGCATAAAGTTGGAGTGGCAGAGATGAGAATGTTACGATAGATGTGCGGACATACACATAAAGATAAAATTCGAAATGAGCACGTAGGCGAAAAAGTGAGGGTGGCACCTATTGAGGAAAAAATGGTAGAAAATCGGTTGAGATGGTTTGGGCATGTACAAAGAAGACCAAGGGAGGCACCAGTGAGAAGAGTGGAACATATAACTTTAAGTCCGATTAAGAGAAGTAGAGGAAGGCTTAAGAGAACATTTTGGAAGTTATTGAACGCGATCTGTTAATTAATAATATTCCTAAAAACTTGATAAATGATAGAGCACAATGGCGTCTTGCAATCCATGTAGCCGACCCCACCTAGTGGGATAAAGGCTTGTTGTTGTTGTTGTTTGTTGATAATTAGGCTCAACTTATTTAATGCATGGACATGCCTGTTTCAAAATAAGTCCGACAGACCTACAAAAAAATTTCTCACTCTAAGCAGTTCTTTTGCTCTTTAATTTGACATTTGTCATCATTTGTCCAAACGGAAACTCTCTCACTTAATGAAACAACTAATACCCACTCACAGATTTTCAGGCAGGTAATATAACCAGATTGAGACACTAACCTTGGGATTCTGGCGCATGTTTCAGCAGCACACGCTATAGCATTTAGTTTTGCACACCAGGAAACAGCACTGGGGGAAAAACAGAGACCCAAAAAAGAGGATAAATTTGTTCAACAATATGACAGCAGAAGACACACTAGCATAGAAAGCTTAAAGCTATACAAAAGAGAAAAAAAATCAACAAAGTCATCAACATACAAACAGAAATTTTTAAAATTGCACACCAATAGATTGTACATAATCTAAGGACGCTTTATAATATCTAAATTCTAAGGCATCATTGAGAGATAAAATCCATGTGTTCATCCATTCAGTTTCACTCAGGCATGACAACAAACTATCCTACTGTTTCTTCTCTCCTAATAAATTCCAAAGTACAGAAGAAATATGAACAAGCTCCAGAAAGTAGTGTTCTCATTCTCACATACATACTTCATTCCTTTTCATAAAACAAATTTTTAGAGGGCGTGGTGTTCCTATATATATATATATATGAAAACTTACAAAATTTTAGGAAAAAATTAATATTTATTTCCCTAGAATTACCTTAATCAATGAATAAAAAGACTTGGCCCACCTGAAGTTAAGAAAATTATGAAAATTAATTAAGGGCAGAAGTGGAAAGATGGAAAAAAATAAGACATAAATTAGTTAAAACTGTTTTATCAATATGCGTAAGTTAGGTAATTTTGTCTTATAAAAAGCAACAGAGGGAGTATTCAATAACTCAATCCTGGAACATCAGTATATAGATGAAGGGGATAACCATAATCTAGCCAAATCTGAACAAATAGTAATAGAAGCAAATCAAAGGAAAATAAAAGATAATAAAATGCTAATAATTACCAAAAAAAATCCCATGATATCAAGGAATACAATACAAGAAAAACTAAAAATATCTGATGTAAAATAAAATAACTAAAACAGAGACACTACGCATTAAAAAATCACAAAAGACAAGGAACTACCTGAAACTAAATCAAGCTAGAAAAGGAAATAAAAATCCCTGAAATAATTCCAATAAATAAGAGGAATGTGAAAATTAACGGGATAGGTTGGCAAATCTCCGCATCAAACTCACAAATAGATGTTAGTCATTCCCAACTTATCAACCACCACTTGAAACTCTTGGTTGAGGCATCCCGTTACATGGTATATCTGCCACTCACTGTTTTGCAGGCAGACATGTGTCATAAACATTGCCTCATCTTCTATCCTTTATTTGAAGACACATCAGTCAGCCTCAACATGGTTGGTCCAATCATGATGAACCAGGTCCTGAGCAATACCTTTTGCTACCTTAGTGTCACGTAAAGCTTCAAGAGACATAAATCTAACATTTCAAGTTCTTCCACCGGCCTTTCCAACATTAGCTCCAAAATTCCTCGAACAAGTGCTTTAAATTCTACTTCTGAATGTAGCTACGTTCTCTCAAACCATTTTTACAAAAACAATAGCCCAATGTAGAACTAAACCTAACCAATTTGCATAAATAAAAGCCTCCATACTCATTAGCTCATCCCCCCAATAAAATTTGACACACTACATTCAGGTGTTCTTCTCAAGGTTGTTAAAGGCAAAAGGCGCACTTAAGGCGCAGAGCCTGTAAAACACCTTAGGCGCATGACGCTAGAAAGGCGTGCACTCGAATGAAGCGAGGTGCTACCATGTGTTATAGCCTCTAGGTGTTGCTGCTCTATTCTAAACGTCTAATGGATTATAATAGGTTCTCTTTTATAACCTAATCAATATAAGTTGGGATTAAATTTTCTTGAAATTTTTCCAAGGCTCATAATAATTTCACTATCATGTTTAAAATTTCAATCAAAAAGTATTTCTTGCAATAAGTTTAAATCTTTTCTATTATGTAATTGTCTTCTCTTATTTGAAATTAAATATTTCATATTTGTTTTTATATCATTTAACTTTTCATATTTTCATATTTTATATCATATTTTAATGGGTTATGTATTAAAATATGAGCAAACCCATTGTCTTCTACAATATGTTACTCCATAGAAGTCAAGTGAAGCCGTCGGTGCTGTCCTTATCTTCTCTTCTCTTCTTCCATACGCTGTCAGCATCGTCCTCATCAATTCCAATCGGTCGTTATCTTCTCTTCAATAACCAAACCCAGTCAGTCGTCTTCTTCACTTCTTCAATACCTAGTCCCAGTCGGTCGTCTTCATCTCTTCTTCAATGCCCAGTGGTCAATCATCATCTGCTCATCTTTTGTTCCCCTATTCTTCAACCTACTTCAATTAGGCACCCTCAGGCGAGCGCCTTTTGCTCGTGCAAGGCGCACAAGGCACTCTCAGGCATGCACCTAACTAACCCCATCACCTCTCTTCACATGAGAGGCGATGACTCTGTTTAGCGCCTCACTTTTGCGCCTTAGGCGCTGAGGCGAGCGCCTTTAACAACACTGGTTCTTCTATCTGAGAGTGCAAAAACAAACTCACCAGATCTGCTAAAAAAGATATATCTAGTCTTTTGTGGGATAAGTACATCTTTTCCCCAGTTATAACTGTGATCTTCCACTGTCTATTAGAACTTCATCCACCACCTTTTTTCATTTTCAGGTTAAGATCTATATCTCTTGGCAAGTTTGCAACTAGAATTCCTGTTAATTCAATGGAGTGCACTTTCTTAGGGAAACTAGGATAACTCTCTTGCTGATTGCCGCTTCCATTATTCCATACCTAAGAATTGCCCGGGGTCTTAAATTTTGAACGCCTATTTAAAGGACACTCTTCAACTCCGTTTTTTCAGGACACCGCAAGTTAGTAAAATGCCATCCACGTTCACAATCAGAATAATTATCTGTCAATCATGTGAATGGACAAAACAAAGTGTGATTGGACTGTCCTTGGATGCATCACTACTTCTTTATTGCCTTTGTGAGCCAATCAACTAACCTAGCCCTTCATGATTGTTCTATCCCATCTAAGGACTTTTTAAGCTTGCACACTTTTCTATGACTGAAAGCAGCTCCATGAAGAATTCATCATCAGGATTTCCATTTCACACATGTTTGGTGTAGGGCATATTTATGAATTACAACTCAAGCGTATCTCAATTTTCTCTATATTTAATATTTAATAAATAAATGGATGCACTTCACTTTTCTATGACTGAAAGCAGCTCCATGAAGAATTCATCATCAGGATTTCCATTTCACGCGTTTGGTTAGTGCATATTTATGAATTACAACTCAAGCGTTTGCTCAATTTTCTCTATATTTAATATTTAATAAATAAATAGATGCACTTCACTGGAAATGTCTAGCTACACAGGAGGGAGGAAGCCAGAAGAAACCTATATCACGAAAAATTTAATATTGACAGGTGATAGAAGTTCAGAATTACCCATCAACGCATGCACGAAATTGAACTAGAATCCTTACTATTTTGCACCGTTCATACCTGAAATTGCGACAAAGTTCCGGCACACTCATCTTGTGCTGCAAATTAGACCTAGGTTGCTTCAGCTTGATGCAGAAAACAGTAGCAGAACTCACTGGATCTTCCTCCATTGGATCGCCCACTGGTTTCTCCTCCAGCACGGCCTCCTCTTCCCCACCCACCGATTCAGTCTTGTCCAAACCCTTGGTAACCTCCTGGAGCTCAGGTTGAGGCAGAGACTGCGACTGAGACTGAGCCACGGGCCCGTCCTCTGGGTCCTTTGTCCCAGAAATTTGATTCATACCCAAATACCCCAATTTTTATAACCCAATAGGGAACAGAGACAAGGGAGAGGACAAAAAATTGTAGTGGCGGAAAGTCCCCAATTGAAGGCGACAGATATCACTGTCAAAAGATAGAGAGATTAGTGTGAGTGGGGGTGGGGGGGGGGGGGCTATTTGGGGATATTCGTGGTAATTATTGATTATTATAAGAAGGGCTTTTGATTTGATAGGATTTGAGGGGTTAGGGCTATTGGTGGTGGTGCGATTCCAGGGGAGAGGGCATAGAATCGTCGCACAGACACGCACGCGGGATGGCGTCAAAGACTTTATGAAATTTCGCTCTCTTTTGCTTTTACTTTGTTGGTGGATGGCAGTTGAGTGTAGCTTTGGAAGACTGATTGTCGTGGCGACTTTATATTGCAGCAAAGCAAGCAAGAAAATAAAAAGTAAAAAAAAGCAGGGCAGAGCAGGAGAGCTCGTCGTCGTCGTCGTCGCCGTCAGCGAGTGATCCGTCTCCCAGTTTGGGGTCTCTAGAATGGCCACGAGGTCACACTCACTGACAACCTTTCAAATTTGTTATGATTTTGCTGCGCCTTTCCCGGTCTTTGTCCTCCTGATTTGGTTTGGACGCAGTCGCGTCACTGGGACGCCCTCAATTTCCTCCCACCCTAAATGGTCATTGTATCCTTTCTTTTTTAGATCATTACACATAATCTAACAAATTTAAGGTTCATGCAAATTTTTTGAAATTCTCAACCTTTATTGAAATACAAAATTACCCAAACTCAGCGATCACTTTAATTCAATAGAGGCATTGTCGTTTATTAACTGCACTGACCCTGAAAATATCCATTATCTAGCATTATCAAAAAAATTAAAAAATTAACTATGAGAGTTTGAATAATCACTTTTAATTACATTTATAAAAAAGTAAATAGATATATGTCAATCTCTTAACCTACTGGTCACCACATGATACTTTTAATATTATGATATTTAATGTTCCCCACCTTGACCATAGAAATTTTATGGTCTTAAACATAACTACACCACAGTCCCTTTACATGATTCGCAGTGGCCTTGTAATAAAAAAAAATAAGATTTAAGGGGCAAGGAAATACAATTTTTACTTTCTTTTGGTGATAGTTGCTATAGTTTTTTCCCCTACAGGTTTCCCAAGTTATATATGTTTATAATGTAAGTCCCTATAATTTTACATATGACCTTAAAAACTTAACCATGACTAATGTATATATACAAGCATGGTTATTTCTTACATTGAATTGTTAAAATTATGCTAAGTACTGAATTGTTAAAATTATGCTAAGTTGTATTAAAAAATAAGTACGTAGCAAGCAAAAAATACATGCAAGATTTAAATCATAATTCTAAAGTGCGCAGTGATAAGCTTCAAAATAAATAAGGCACGACAACTATAATAGATAGGCAAAAAATTTAATGTGCCTGTTTGGATTTGCGTTCAAAATCAATTAATAATACAAAAATCATGTTTTGACAAAAATTATCCAAACACATATGTTACATATTAAAATTAATTATGAATCTAAAATTATAACATCCAAACACCTATTATATATGCTGAAATTTTGAATCTAAAATTATGGTTTTATTAAAAATATCCAAACACTTCTTATAATGTCAAAATCAATTGTGAACCAAAAAATATGATTTGTAAAATAATTTAGGAAAAATAGTATCCAAGGACCACCGTACAATATTTATATCACACAAGGATCAAATAATTTCATATTTTCACTGCAACCCTTTGGTCCTTCTAACATTAATTTTAGGCAAAAAGATCAAAATGCCACTCATAGTTAAAAAAAAATAGAAACCCCCACCGTCGCTAACACCGACTGTCAAACCACCACCAGCAGTAAGGTCACCAAAGCTTCGGTGCTGGTGACATTTTATTTTAGAACTAAGATTTTTAGGGTGGCCAAGGGTGGGTTTAATTTCATGACTCTTGGCCACCTAAAAAGCTTAATAGTCACTAGGCCACCAAACCCTTTAATATATGAAAAAAAAATTGTAAGTAGTAAATCAAGCACAAAATCACTTTCATGTAATAACCTAATGTGTATTGTTAATTTTTGAACGGAATTAGTTATTTTACAAATGTCATTTGTTAATTTAATATGGACAATTACAAATTGAAGGTTTCAAAACTTCACTCATTTTACTTGTTAAATATCCCAATATAGTGTTATTAATCACGAATAGATTGTTGTTAAAATCAAACGGATATTTGTTAGTAAATGACTGACATGCACACGCACAACTAAACCCTTTTTATCATTTTTCTAACTTGTTAAAACCATAATAGATTCTTATTAATTTCAAATGAATTGTTATTATTTTATAAATATCACTTGTTAATCTGACATAGACAATTACAAATTGAGAGCTTTAAAATTTCACTTATTTTACTTGTTAAATATCTCAATGTGTTGTTGTCAACCATGAATAGGTTGTTGTCAAAATCAAATAAATATTTGTCAATAAATAACTAACACGCACAACTAAATTCTTCCTATAATTTTTTCCACCTTGTTACAACCAGAATATATTATTGTTAATTTTAAATAAATTATTGTTATTTTACAAATGTCACTTATTAATCTGATATGGACAATTACAAATTGAGGGTTTCAAAACTTTACTCATTTTACTTGTTAAACGTCTCAATGTGTCGTTATCAATTATGAATAGATTGTTTTCAAAGCCAAATGGATACTTGTTAGAAAAATTAATAGGCAGGGTTAATATGTATTAGTCATTTACTGACAAGTATCCATTTCATGTTGATAACAACCTATTCGTGATTGATAATAATATATTGGGACATTTAACAAGTAAAATGAGTAAAGTTTTGAAGCCTCCAATTTATAATTGTCCATATTAGATTAACAAGTGACATTTGTAAAATAACAAGTTCCATTCAGAAATTAACAACACACATTGGGTTATTATATGGAAGTGATTTTGTACTTGGTTTACTATTTATAATTTTTTTGCTATATATATATATATATATATATATATTAAAAGGCTTGGTGGTGGCCACTGAGCTTTCTTTTGGTGATAGTTGCTATAGTTTTTTCCCCTACAGGTTTCCCAAGTTATATATGTTTATAATGTAAGTCCCTATAATTTTACATATGACCTTAAAAACTTAACCATGACTAATGTATATATATAAGCATGGTTATTTCTTACATTGAATTGTTAAAATTATGCTAAGTACTGAATTGTTAAAATTATGCTAAGTTGTATTAAAAAAATAAGTACGTAGCAAGCAAAAAATACATGCAAGATTTAAATCATAATTCTAAAGTGCGCAGTGATAAGCTTCAAAATAAATAAGGCACAACAACTACAATAGATAGGCCAAAAAGTTAATGTGCCTGTTTGGATTTGCGTTCAAAATCAGTCAATTAATTGTATGGAAAACATGTTTTGGCAAAAATTACCTAGCCACCTACTATATCACATATTAATCAAAATTATGTTTTTTTTAAATATCCATTGTACTTGTTAAAATTAATTATGAATCTAAAATCATGGCTTCCTTAAAAATATCCAAAAACCTATTACTATGTCAAAATCAATTATGTATCAAAAAATACGATTTGTAAAATAATTTATGTGATTTTTAGATAAAATTTTAGAAATGTATAATTGAAAAATTGAATTGAAAAGCAAGTAATAGTAGCTTATGAGATACTCATGATTTTGCGTTCATAATTAATTTTAGCATGTATGGGGTATTTGGATATTTTTTAAAAAAAGTATGATTTTGAGTTCATAATTAATTTGGGCGTGTATAATGGGTATTTAAATATTTTTCAAAAAAACATGATTTTAGATTTATAATTGATTGATTTTATCATATAACATGAGTGTTTGGATATATTTTTACCTTATTTTCAATTCTGATTAAAATTAATCTTATTAATCAATTTTATAAATCAATTACACATAATATAATCAATTATATTTCAAATCAATCATATTAATTAATTTTTAAATAATCAATTATATCTAACTTAAATCCAAACGCAATAATAAAAATAACAAAGTTTTGCACGTTTTAGCATATTTAACTCCTTCTTTGATTATAAGAATTAACATTCCAAGCTAATAAATTTAAGAGACATAAAATAATAAAAAATGTATAAAAATTAATACCAAAACACACTAAAAGTAACAAGATCAATTATGTTTTTCCAAAATGTAAACATTTAAATATACTTTCTTGTATTTAACTTGAAACTTAAAATGTTGGAAAAGTGTTCATATTTAATGTTGCAATCATATTTTAAATAGGATTGTTTCTAGCCCCAAAAGAAATATCTAGGTAATAAAAAAAGTTCAAACCAACGCAAAACAAATTATCAAAATTACTTACTTCTTCACTCCCATAGTTAAATCATTTCCAACTAAATTATTGGGATGAGGAGAGATAACTTTTTTTTTCAATTTACCCTTACCAAAATTACTTTAATTTTTATTTTTACTCCTGATGGGTATCACAATTTTTTTAAAAAAAAAAACATTATTATCTCCTCATTGAAATTTGAGGAGAATGACCTATTTGGAACAAAACAACCAATGCTGAATAAACTATCGTAAAGTGACTAACCATAAAATTGTTATAGAAAGCCATTTACACATGATATTAAAAGGGAGTGCCTTGTACTGGTCATAAATTTTTTTTTTGGTTGTGCTTTTTTAAGAAATTGAAGAAAAGATTGAACTTGTAGTTCTGAATTCTATAAAGATGAGTAGAGGAGATAAAAGAAAAATATTCAAAAAGTTATCAAAGGAAACTTTTTTGTTAATGGTAATGTGACAGAGATAGCAACCCATACTATTAATGAAGCTTCTTGTTATTGCTGTGTTTTCACTGTGATATTAAAAAATAATGTTAAAGTTTATATATTGTGAGTGTATAAACGCGGATTATGAAACTACTACTATATAGTATATACTCTCTTCATTAAAAAATATAAGATATTTGTCACGCCTGAATCATGATTTTCATGGAGAGAGAAGGTTGATAAATGTAGAAAAATGAGAGTTGTCATCAAAGTTTTTAAGAATCTTTGAAAAATAGTATAATGAAAAAGGATAGTTTACAAAAAAGGTTTGGGAGTCGATTATATGTGAGAAAGGTGTTGGGCATCTCACGACACTCGTTTATAAAAATGAATACCTTAAGTTAATTGCGTAAATTAATTGACCTTTTAATAATATCTTAATTATCCTGTAATCAGATGCAAAAATGAAAATAAAAAAATGAAAATAAATTATTTATTTACATAGGAGGACTTGACCTAGGATCAAAATCTAGGGCCTACATACAATGGGGATCAACGTTCACATAATTTAAAGTATCATTATTTAGGTTTTCTTTTAATTTTTTTATTAATTCATTTTATGAAGAGAACGTTATTTTGTATTGTATAATCATATTTATTTTTAAATAAAAAAAATTGTTGTAAGGAAGAACCTTTGGATAAAAAGAAAATAACCAGTATTAA